AAGTCAGACGCTTAACTGACTGAGCCACCCAGGCGCCCCTCCTGTATATTTTTTACTTTCTTCCCTACTGTGTGTTCTCAGCAATTCTCCCTCTACCCCTTCTTCCTGAGTTCTCTCATAGTTTACTCTTTCAAATTTTGATAAAGTTCAGTTTATACCTCCAGCCCCAGTAATTACATGGAGAGAGTAGAGGCTCCTCAAAAGACCTAAGTCATCATTTCTCCACACTAACCCTCTTGCTACATTATCTGTTATTACCCAAGCCAGAACCGTGGAGCCATCCTCAACTCTTCCCTTTGCGTCACCCATCCCCAACCCGCATACCAATCCATCACCAAGTCCTGATGATTTGAATCCCAACTACCTGTGAAATTCAGATCTTCACCCTTATTTCTGGCCACCCACCCACCTCTAAGGACCTGAACTTAAGGTGTAAGACTTTTTTGTCTGCACCTTTGCCATCATTCCCTATCAAGTCTTCCTATTCCAGTATGGTCCCCTCTAATCTGGCCTGAGTTATTCCTTTAAAATACCCATCTGGCCATGCCAGTCTCCTATTAAATCCCTTCACTGGCTCCTTCTCACCTATCATAGCAGTTTCAGCCCCTAAATACCTGGGGGGAAAAATGGCATTTCCATGAGCAGGCCTCTCACAAGCAGAGCAGATTTCTTACGGGATGTTCAAGTACAAGACAAACTGTGGCTCATGCTCAATTCTTATTCCGCCAGCAGTAAAACAGCCCCTTTGTCTCCCATTATCCCTGTACATAATAGGCTGCAATAAGTCAATAGGTCCAAAACTCCACCTGAGAACTTCTGACTTACAAACTAGAGTCCAGACTCCTTTGAATGCCTACAAGGATGGTCCTTTCTGAGTGAATCTGATGAACTTGTCACCCTCCTTTCTCGTCACCAACTTCAAGTTCCTTCAGATGATCAAATACTTCATGTAATTTCATTCTTCCACACTTAACCCATAGTATCTCTTCTCTCTGGAGTGTCCTTCTCTGCCTTAAATGTCTTTGTCTGTCTTGTCTGCCTGACAAACTCCTGTTTGTCCTCTAAAACCCTGCCATGCACCACTCCCATATGTACCATTTCTATACCTTTTATATTACAATGCACATGGGCTGTGTGCATTGTAATGGCACATTTGCATACATCCCATCACCCAAGTCTCTAAGCTCTATGACAGCAAGAACCGTTTCTCGTTCATCATAGCCTCCCCAGTGTTTGGCCTTGTCCCTGACACATACTACGTGTGCAGGAACTGTTTGTTGAACCGAATGGAATCCATATTTTTCCTCTGCTGTCTCTCTAGTACTAATGAACGTTGGCACTTCATACTATACAATTTATTTCCCCATTACATACTGACCTACACATGAGTTTCATTTAGTCTGGTGACCTTACAAGTTTTGATAAGTTTCACCGTAAATTGTAGGGTCTCTGTTTCATGTCTGACCTTGCCAAGAAAACTCAAGTCCAAACAAGATGAACAAGGGTGTTACCAATGTAAAATGTAACTAAAGAAAGTTGTAATGTAATAAAGGAATTAGAAAATGTGTGCCAGAGTACTAGAACACTCTCACTGGTTCATTCACTCAGTAGTCTCCCAGGTGCTGCATCTGGTGGCGCCAGAAGTCTTCTTTCCTTTGGAGGAAAGTAAACCATCTCCTTCAAAGCCACTCAACTCCTATTTCTCTAAATCAACAAGCACCAAGCCACTTATTATGATTAACTCAATTTCCCAGGTATCTTGGTAACAGGATGGGGAGGCTCTGGTATTTCAGTCTCTGAAAATGTAACAAGCAAATACATGGACATTATGGCTCATGCATCCATGACTTACGTGTTTGGTTCACAAATATTAGTCCTTAGGAGCAGATTCAAATTGGATACATTAACAAAATCAATTCTATGTCACTACAGAGCTGTCACTGGGCCACCGTGACCATGCCAAGGTACTTCCCTCCTTGGTGGCTTTGACTGCCTGCTATCTTCTTCTACTTCTGAGTCACTCCCTTCTAATTTCATTTAACTACCTCTGGATAACATATCCACAGTTCCCAAACATTTCACACTATTTATTTTATCCTCTTGATGTCCCCAAGCAAATATTCTCATCCCCATTTCACCTATAAGACAACTGAAGCTCCGAATGACCAAGTGATTTGTCCAAGGATCCACACATGCAGTAGGCTGTGGTTATTTTCCTTAGCCTGCCCCTTAAACACCACAGTGGCTTAAACCCAGTCTCTCTGAATTGAAGCTTGTTATTTTTATCCACCATAAGGCTTCTCTTTCACATCAGTCCAGACAGGTAGCACCTCTAGTGAAGGAGTGATTAGGGAGGAGAGATAGAGCTCATCAAGTTGTATTTACGTAGTACTCTTGTTGACTTTTATCCTCTATTCCCCTCAGTTCTGCTTGAGACTGGAGCTAGGAAGACTTTTCCTAATTGAAAGCTAAGAAAATTGAACTTCAGGAAAGTTGACTGACTTTTTCATGGTCATAGAACCCCTGGGAATCTGATGTTCATTGGTCTTTAGAGTAAGCATCTACGGAGCTATCTAGAGACCAACAAACAATGCTATAATAGCCAGGTCATCAACAACAGCAGCATTATTATCAAAAATGGCATCCACCAAGTTCTTACCATGTGCTAAACCATGTTCATTCATTATCTCATTCAATCCTTACATGATTCCCACAAGGAAGGCATTGTTACCCCCTTTTTAGAGATAATAAAACTGAGGTACAGAGAGACCTGTAACTTGCACATTATCACAGAGCTAGTAAATGGTGGTGGTAAGATCTAGCTCCAAGCATATCTGAGTCCAAATGCCCATGCTTCTGATCACTATTGTACCCCATTGTACAACTTTACGAGTACAAGCTATATGTGCACGAATGAACTTAGATTAAAGAGCTCTTAGATTCAGTGGCCTGACAGAGGAAAAATGGATATCTGGCTCTCCATCACCACTCTTGGTTCTTGAGCTACCTAGCCAAAGTCTGCACTCTGGCTATAGTAGCTGCTGACCCTGTGTTACCCACACCGCCCTCATCACTGTTCCACGTGAAAAATTACTTTTCCATGCAATACTTTCCTCTCTTCTCCATGCCAGACTCCTCTTTCCCAAACTGCTTGCTCCCTGCCCTTTCCATGAAAGACTTCTCAAATGAACAAAAGCTTCCATTTCTCCACGACATATGTACACTCTGGGAAAGAGCGCATTGTGTTTAAATGTCAAATGCTTAAAGTTAAATGGTGCCTGACAGGCCTCCGCATCTTGCCCATCATTTGCATGTGTCCCAACTCCCCCATAGACCATGTGGCTCTAAGGTCTTCTTTCCCTCCCACAAAGCACCCATCCAGGACAGACAGTGCCATGAACAAAGGAAATTGAGACTCAGAGAGAATTTCAAATGCGGTTTATTGCAGCAATACAGGGAAGCGGGGAATTTAAGGCCTCTCCACAAAAGACAATCAACTTGCTCACACCTTATATACAAAACCAAAGCAGCACAGAGCTTGCTCCAAGAAATAGGATACTAAGGAAGTGTCCAGAGCATGTGCTCCATGCACAGCAAAGAAGCCGTGGTTCTAACCAGCCCTCCTCTGGCCGACTTAAGGAGGTGCTTTGAAATGTAATGTGTGCAGTGGTGATTGCTGAACTGTTTCTCAGGCAAAGCACACAGCAGGGTCATAGCCAGGGGGACTGAGATTGCCACTGGTCTAAAAACTTCTTTGGGAAGCAGAGAAGAAAGGAAAGAGCCTGGGAACTAGGGTGAATCAGTGTAACTCATGATAGCTCTTTTCTCCAGTAAGGCCGGGGGCAACTGACCTTGGTCTTGCCAAGCGTGTTTGGTAGTGATGGAGAGGGAGCGCTAACAGGACAGAGGACGCCTCTTTATCTGATCACTCTGGAATAGCTGGAGGAAACAAACTTCACACTGGAACTGCCACCAGAGGTCTTAGTACCCCCAGAGCTGGATCCCCGGCCTCCAGACGAACTGAAACTGCCTCCAGAGCTCCCGCCGGAACCCCGGCCGCCCCCTCCAGAGCCGCCTCGGTGGCCCCCACTGCTGCTACCGGAACCGAAGCCGCCGCCACCTCCAGAGCTGTAGCCGCCACCTCCAGAGCCGTAACTGCCACCTCCGGAGCCATAGCCGCCTCCAGAGCCATAGCCGCCGCCTCCGCCACCGGAGCCGAAACCTCCGCCTCCTCGGCCACCACCTCCACTGATGGTGGTGTGGCTGGTGTTCACCGCTGCAAAGGGACACGCGGTTATCACCACCCCAACTCCTTTTCCAACCGGGCAAAACCTGCACGCGCCCCTAAGAAAGCAGCTTGTACTTACACACGCTCACATTCGGGGAACACTCTCCAGACATCCTGTAGGAGAAAGAAAAGAACATCCCTCAGGACCCTCTGGCCGCACAAACCCTCTCAGCCATCTTCAAGATTCTCCCCATTTGGGGCTCCTCCTACCCACCTGATCTGAAACCTGATCCAGTCCCCTTGGCCTCCCAAACCTCTGCCATTTTCCCAGCATAAACACAAACAGGGAGACATGTCCGTATAAAGTAGACAAGAGTCTTGCCGTGAACGCAGGTTAACGTTAACAGTGCCATTGACTTCTAGGCCAGATGACACCTGAGCCAGCCCAGATGGAGAATAAACTGTGCCATCTCGAAGCACTTCATAGAGATACCACAACCTTCCGAAAGAAGTTGGGCACCCTGGGTCCCAAAGCAAAGCCAAGCCTTTCCTCCTGCACCCTGTAGCGTTCCCCCTTCCCCATACCCAGGACCAGCTGCAGTCACATGGCTGCGTGTCCAACAGCAATCAGTCTACCAGGGAGGAAGCACCAACAGAAGTGGCCAAGCCACCCGGGGTTCTGTCCTCACCTGCTTTCCTCTCCTTCCAGAAGGGTTCTGTAGGTGGCGATCTCCATATCCAGGGCCAGCTTGACATTCAGCAGCTCCTGGTAGTCACGCAGCAGCCGGGCCATGTCCTCCTTGGCCTGTTGCAGGGCATCCTCCAGCTCGGCCAGCTTGTTCTGGGCATCTTTGAGGGCGTTCTCACCACGCTGCTCGGCATCGCTGATGGATTGCTGCAGCGCAGAGATCTGAGAAAGAGAAGCTCACACATTACACACTCTGCTGTCACCTAATCCCACCCTGGCCTTCTTATCTCACATCCAACTGTCCATCTCCATGAGGCTGGTACTCTGGGTCCAAGAGAATGACAGCAAGCTCTGGATAACCCATCACTGCTTCCGGATAGCACGTCACTGTGTTGACTTCCTTGAAAGCCCTTAAAGGGGATGCAGGAGCCTCTCTTGGCCCTGAGCTGAGGCTTCTCCACCCCTTACAGACCTGACATTCTCTACACTGAAACCTCCTGACTGCCTTTCCTCTCACTCACCACGTCTGTGCATCAGGGGCTAGGTCACTCATGACCATCACGTCCATTTCTCTACTAGGTCGTTGTCACAAGTTTCCCTAAAGAGAACCCAGCATGGTAGCTGCATTGTGGAAACCAGAATAATCACCAGAGGAACTAGGGACAGTAATATAACCTTGGAGTGGATTGCAAGATTCAAAACGAGGAACATGTCCTCCAGTTACCCGAGACCCTCACCCCACACCAATTCCATATAGCTGAACAGTAAGGAGAAGGAAAGAGCATGTACCTGCTTCTTGACACTATCGATCTCAGATCGCAGTCTCTGGACCATCCGATTCAGTTCAGAAATCTCCATCTTTGTACTTTTCAGGCTGTCCCCATGTTTGCCAGCAGTGATCTGGAGCTCTTCATACTGAAGATGGTGGATCAAGTCAATTAGATGTGGCAGAGCATACCGTGGTTCACGCATACACACATAAGAGAAAACACAGGACAGGAAGACAAGACATTTCAGGACAACTGGCTAGACATTCAGTTTATTCACCTTGGTCTGGTAGAGCGCCTCGGCCTCGGCCTTGCTCTTCTGGGCAATCTCCTCGTACTGAGCTTTGACCTCAGAGATGATGCTGTCCAGGTCCAGGTTCCTGTTGTTGTCCATGGACAGGATGACATTGGTTTCGCTGATATGAGTCTGCATCTGGGCCAACTCCTGCAAGATATAATAGTTCAATGGCTCTTACAGTGTTAACACAAAAAACAGTTTAGACAGAGGGAGGAGTCAGGAGATGGAAGGTGTATCTTTGTTCTCCTGGTTAGTGATGGGCTCAGGCTCCAAGCTCTCCATCTGGGTAAATGTTGAAAGCAGGACTTACTGCTTCATAGAGTGCTCTGTAGAAATCAGTCTCCTGCTGCAAGTTGTCAACTTTGGCCTGAAGATCCACCTTGGCCATATAAGCAGCATCCACATCCTAGAGGAACAATGGACATCATGAAATCATGTTCTTTCCAGGGCAAGTCCCTCTCACTGGTTGTCAGGGGCTTCTCCAAGTAGGACCAGTGTTTGGAATCTCCTCCACACCTTTCTACCCAGGCAGATCACAATCCTTAAACTGCACCACCCCTCAGAATCACAATCACAAGAGAGCTTGCCTGAGTGGCTGAGAACTTGC